TGCTTTGTTATTTATATTATTCAGTATTATTATTTAAAAAAAAAAACGTACAGTGTGCCTTTTCGAAGTATTTTACAACACCTTAATAGTTTTCTGTAGCAATCAATCTACAGTCAATACTCTTTAATGATTTTTTTAAATAATCTAATAAAATTTTTCATTTTTTTCAATTTTTGCTTTGTGCATAAATTTTATATTTTCACATAAATATTTTATTTTTAAGAGCCTCCTTTGCCATTTTTTCTTTTGTTTTTGCTTTAGCTTCTAAAATTTTTTGTAATTAATTAGTTTACTGCCTCTTTTAAAGTTAATCTCAGCGGATTTTTTTTCTTTTATTCTTTTTTGATCTCCACTTGATGGCTTTATTATTTGGCACATTTTAATTTTTTTTTCTGTTTTAAAATATTATCTGTTTTTACTACATCTTTGCTTAGGCTCTCTGAAATACATTCTTGTTTTACATATAAAAAAATTTTTGATATTTTTTTATATAAATTTGAATTGTAAGCAATTTTGATTTAGAATAAGTAAAGATTCAAAACTTCAAGCTCGGTTATAAAAATATTGATGATCAATTTGGATGATTTTCAACCAGAGATTTAACGATATTATTTCAAAATGTTTCAACCGAAACAGCTGTATTTTTTTTATTGAATGTGAAATTAATCGTTACGGCGCAGGCTTGGTTTTTTTTTCATTCATTTCGGCCAATCTGGTCCAGCTGAGAGCCCAATAGAAAGTGTGAGGCTCACACTGTGAATGTATTACCTTTTACTGTTTTTGCTGTCTTAAGGATCTCGGTAGTGGAAATACAGTGAAGTTTCTTCTTAAGTACTACTTGGGCCTTTTACAAAATCATGATTTAATATCATTAAAGCAAGCTTGAAATGGAAACCATTTATGCTATAAACAAAAAACGTTCTTTTTTTTACTCAAATTTGTCATACGAGGTGTGACAATTAAGTAAAGAGACCAATTTTATTGCCGCAATTGTGGTAAACTTACGACCTAGAAATTCCCTTTCTCTTCTCCCGGCAACCTTCTCCTCTCCACTGATATATTTACCATAGCTCTACCTTGTTTAGCTCACCTGCTGTGTCGTGTTGAGTAAAAGTGTGTTCATGGTGCTCGTCACGAAAGTGGAAAAGTGAAATCAAGAGCAACCCGACGCCAAAAAATTTTGCACCGAATTTTGCGCGAAACTGCTTCGGAAACGTACGCTAAAATTGTAAAAATAGATGGTGATATTGCTCTTAGTTGTGTCCAGGTGTTTCGAGGGCATAAAGAGTTTAAGGAGGGGCATGAAAGCGTGGAAGAGAAGGCGCGGAGCAGGAAACCAGTCGAGGTGCGGACTGACACGAAAGCTCAGCGTGTCCCAGTATTTGACCGCTAAAGGGATTGACGTGTTGCAATAACCGCCTTGTTCGCCTGATATGTCACCCTGTGACTTTTTATCCCTATAACAAAATCAGTGGCCAACAAAAAAAACCCATGTTGAGTCGATTGAGGACATCCAGGCGGCCGTGACGAGGGTACTCTCGGACATTCAGGAAATGTTACGTAGCATGGAATCATTGTATAGCTGCCCAAGGGATCTACTTTGAAGCGGATGGCAGAGTTGTAGAATAATCTTGATATATAGGGTTTTTATGGAATCAGTCTCATTACTTCGTTGTCACACCTCGTACATATTTTTGCGCTTGTGAGTTTCCTAAAACCTCTCTTATTCGTTGATTAATTGTTGACTAATTGATCACTTATTCATATGAGTTATGGCCAAATGGTTATATATATGTTTGGAAATATGCATAAAAATGACGCGCGACTTTTTTTTTTGATTTGCTATTCATTAACATTATATGTTGTTTTTCTTTGATAACATATTTTCAAAGTTGTTAACAAAGAGTTTTCTTGAGTAATATAAGAAGCTGGAAACTGAAAAGTTTTGCAATGTATTCAAATTGACGCTTTGTGACTACTAGAGAGATTTTCGGCTGAGCTTCTCATCGAATTTGTGGTTTGTGGCTTGATAATTTTTTTCCAAAAAAATAATTCTCGTGCATTTTTGTGAATTTTGACTAAAAACCCTCTGTGAATAAAATCACTATTTTTTGGTAATGAGTCATGTGTTTTTAAGTATGACGTCGAAAGAAAAACTAAGAGATATAAGAACAGAAAAAAACATGTAACGATTGGTTAAAGGTCAATAGTTTTCTTAGTGATTTTTGTAATTATCTTGGAGTAGCTCATTAGAAGTTCTTACGTTGAGTTTGCACAGCTAATGCGATGTGTTTCCTTAGGGTTGTGTGGCGCTTACGTGAAGCAATACGAAGAATGTACCGCAAAGTCTGGAAAAACCACTATTTTTACATTCCGATTCACAGCGTATATTGATATTAAGGAAGTCATTTTGCATGCTCCTTGCAAGCAAATACTTTACCAATTCTTTCCCTGGACAAATCCACCGATTCGAAACTTTTTGACTAAATAACAACAAAACAGTCAGTGTTGACGGACTGCCTGTGGTGTTTTTCAAGGTGACGAGCTCATAGAGTGTACGCATCAGCTTCTTTAAAAAAATATGTTTAGCGGAAAGTTTGCTTGATGAACCGAAGCATATAGTAAAGAAGGGAGAACCGTTCATATATGCCAGCCCCAGTGCCATTTGCCTGACCGTTTGGTCTGGTAGGCTCAAAATAGACCAATTCCCGAAGAAGAACCATGAAAAAGGAATTTAAACCCATAATCCTTTTGTCCATTATAAAGCTGCTTTCGATTTTCGTTCGTACGCTATCGTATCTGAGTTCTATATTTCAGCGAAGCTGATTCAGTTTTGTACATAGAATTACATCAAGGCACAGCAGCAGTTGTCACATGGTTTGAATGCATCGTACGCCGTACATTTCAATATCGTGTGAAGTTTCAGACCAAGCGATACTCTATTGCGCCAGCTCATCGACTTGGTGATGGAAGCTGTACTGTAGAACCCAAAGGAATCAGCAAAACATGGGTCTGTTGAACTGGACTATGCTGTGCCTAGCAACCCACGTTATAGCCGATCACCATGCTGTCGAAGTTGTTAAGGAATTCACGTACTTTGGCTTCATAAATAATGGATCACGGTTGGACAAAACTAACGCTTCAGAAAACGCGTATTTTGCGCGAGCTGTTATAACCTGCAAAGCTTGCTTGTGTCGCAACCAGCTGCATACGAGATTGCAGTGTTTGAGTGAAAAACATTTCATAAAATATTATCTCTCTCGCATTTATTGGGAGCGAACGTCATATTAGAATGAACTGTCAGCTGCACGCCTGAACGATTACACATATATTCTCCTCGGTTAGGTCATATTGTACGTATAGACGATGAAATTCTAACGAAGCAGGTTTTCGAAGCGAAAGCCGATGGAGAGGGGCGAAGTAGAATGCCACATCTCATATAGAAAGAGCAAGTTAAAGAGTATTTATTATTTCCAAGAGAGATAACAATTTAGCAAAAATATTGTGTGTGACGGTAGAATTATTAAAAATTCTAAGATGATTTAATTTAACATAAAAAAATTTTAATCCATTTAATTATTTATTTAAGGAGAGCATGCAAGTTTCTAGAAGGATAGTGGCCAGAACATTAGTGGACCTTCCAAGCTCGTTGTACACAAAGTCTTAAAAATATATTTGGCCAAAAACCTCTATTGGAAAATCAACAATATGACATATTCACCTGGGCTCACTTAGTGAGATGTGGAAAACGCAGATTCCAAAATTAAACTGATGCAGAACTACGAATTTTTGAAGACAAAATCGTCCATAGTATAATAAATTTTATGAAAGGTTGTAGGAAATTAAAAAAAAATTACGAAAATAAATAATTGCCACTTCAAATACATATCAGAAACTAAAAAATTTTGAAGGCTTTGAGATTAATTAAATATTATTATTTGAAAATAATCATTGTATAAAGCTGGGTATGCGTGTTAACTATAGACAAATAGTATAACTTTTTACTGGCATATCTATTGTAAATTGGAGCGTTCGGCGTAGCGTTTTCTAACGCCAATGAGGGGCAACGCGCGCTATCTTAAAACAAGAGCGCTAAAGTTTTGGTCTTTTCTCTTTCTCTCTCAGTTCATATAATTTTAAGAACATGTTCCATACAAATTGTAAGGCTATGAGGATTTTTGATAGTTCTTTAGCGCCCAACGCATCAATTTAGGGATATCAGCTACGCTTCATCGTGGGAAATAGAGAGGAGAGCGCTTTCACTTCTATCTCTCTTTCCCTCACTCTTATTAATATAGGTTGTCTGGGGTCCGACTGAGGCGCATTTATATCCATTTCAGTATTGTTACGGCACCATTTGGAATTAATTTAGTATCATTTCAGAATAAACACAAAAACAGTTGGATAAAAGTTTTTCTACTGAGGATAAGCACTCTGCGAAGTCTGTGAGATTACATACAAGTGTGCTTTTTACTGGCCTCGAGCTTTCAATGTATACTGTGGAATGTAGTAAAGGAGCTTTAAGCTTTGAATCTATATAAAATCCCTTTCTCACTTATTTATATATTTTATATGAATTATCATTGTATTTATATTTTTTAAATATTTTTTTTTCTGTTAAAATATATTTAGAGGAATACACAGATAAATTCGATGAGTTTGAACCATATATATGTATGCATAGTAGAGTGTTCATAAGTATATGTGTGTGTAGGATTGATTTGAAGTATTTCGGCACTTTGACATGCAAAAGTATTTTCAATAAAATATTATAGTAAAATATATTATATTAAGAGTAAGAATTAAATTAAAAAGAGTAAGCAGCAATGTGTGAGTACATACAAATCAACACATCTTTTGTACAAGTATGTGGTAGTAGCAGTATTTGTGCATAGGAGTATTCATATTGAGAAATAGGAACAAGTTATTATAAAATTTATTTCCAAAAAAAAAAAAAAAAAAGCTTAAGCAAGAAAGTGTACCAAAAAAATATTATGATTAAAAATAAGTAATAATTACTCTTCCTCCTTTGGTCAACAACCAAACATATATAAATACATACACAGTTTTATCTATTCGCTAGCAAACCATTCGCCGGCGGCAATACATTGGCGTTAACGGCGCCTAGTGTAGGCCCACTCAAGGGCCCACCCACTGTTACTGAAGATACCACACCGCCAGCTACTGCGCGTGCACTGGCAGTCAGCCCCAGCGATGTTGCCACATTCAACTGCCGCTGATGTACAGCCGCCGCGACCACACTGCCGGCACAACTGTTGGGCACAATGGATATGCCGACACCACCACCGCCGCCGCCGCCACCGACGCTATTCACTGTTTGTGCAGTGGCTGCTGCCGCCGCCGCCGCCGCCGCCGCTGCAGCTGCTGCACGCTGATGCTTGCTCGCATTGCCACCGCTGCTGCCACCACCACTCTTTACCAACCCACCATTGTGCTTCTGCGCCATGTGTGTTTGGTAGTGTTTGGCTAGATGTGCTTTCTGACGAAAACTCTTGCCGCAGAGCGAGCAGGTGAATGGCTTTTCGCCTGTGTGCGTACGTATGTGCACGTTTACGGAGTACTTGTCCTTGAAACCCTTCGAGCAGATGGAGCAATAGTGCAGCGAGCGTTCCTTCCGCTGGCCATTACAGTGTGTGGGACTGTTGCTGCTGGTGCTCGAGCTGCTGCCACCGCTGGCTGGGCCGTTTGGGCCGCCGTTCGTAGTGCTGCCACTGCCAACTGCGGGGGTATTACTGCTACTACTACCACCCGTACTGCTGTTGTGATTGGTTACATTTGGATTGTTATTGTTATTATTGTGATGCTGCGTACTCGACGTGGAACGCTTGTACTTCTTTGTCACTTTGGTAGTGCTACTGCCACTGCCGCTGCTGCTGCTGCTGTTCGTCACCATGGTTGACTTGCCACTGGCCGTTTGTTGTTGTTGCGTATGCAAAACACGTTGCTGTTGTTGTTGTTGGCTTTGTATATGCAACGCTTGCATTGGTGTTTGTGGTAATGGCGACATTTGTTGTTGTTGTTGCTGCTGCTGTTGAGCTAAACTCGTCGGCGTTGTTGCTGGCGAGTGCAACTGCTGTTGTTGTTGCTGTTGTAATTGCTGTAAACTCGTACTGCCTGCACCTCCACCACCAGCCGCTGGCGACAATTGCATCAACACATCATTGGTTACATAATCCGAACTCGGCGTTGGCGAGCAGAATTGTTGCACTTCGTTGGCAATGCGTTTCATCTTCTCAAAGTCGTCGCTGAAGGCACTTTCTAGCGATAGGAACATATCATCGACCATAAGGCTCGACACGCCACTACTATTGGCAGCGCCGTTCGGATGTTGGCTGCCCACCAAATGGGAGGGATGTGCGTCCTCGAAAATTTGTGCCGCACTCAGTGCAGAATCGCCGAAGGTGAGTGTGTCCTGGAAGAAATCATGAATTGGGAGGAGAGGGAAAATGATATGGTGAACTTCATATGTACATCTAGTTAAAGAAACTGGAAGGAAACTAATAATAATGGAGACTTGTGTAATAAAGAAGGCACGAAATGGTGAGAGAAAGCAAAAGCTTAGCTCTCAGTTGTGTAGCCTTGTGTAGCAGTAGCTTAAGCCTGCTAAAATACTATTTGGAACTAATTTGAGACTTTTGTGGGTAGTTCGGAACCAGGAAAGAGACTTTTAAAACCCCCATCGAGTGAGACTAGTTACCCAACAATTCAGCTGATTGTTAGGTAGTTCTAGTATTACTTCGAGGCTATTCTAGAACCTCTTGTCAGTCAAATTCATACAAATAAAGGTTTCGTAAAGAGATAACTCGGTACTTTTAAATGGCAAACACCTTTGGTGACGTTATTCGGTTGTAAGATTGTTCTAGTCTTACGTATGGTCCGAGAATTCCTTCGGGCCTTTGCTTGTTGCGCAGAAGTTATAACCAGAACTATTTAAGAAACGTTTCAGTGCTAAGTGAGTACAATTTCTCCATTTGCTCAGAGCTATTTTGGAAATGGCTTGCGGATACAGAGTGCTGTTTGCTTCAAACTAGTCCACGAGAGAGAGAGAGAGAGAGTCAAGAGAGATATCGAACTATTGTATATCCATTAAGCACCATTTCGGAGCTAAAATCTATCGTTCAAATTCTGCTGGATCTACTCGAGTCGTTTTTGAAACAATCTTATATACCCTGATCGGGACTTCTGGAAGACAATTTGTAAATATGCAGTATTTCAGCCGACTCTTTGGCTTAGCCATTAGATTACATTCATCTCAGATAGGACTCTCAGAAGGACTTGGAGCCTCTACCGACTTTCTATCTAGCTGATTTTCATCCATTTCTTTAAGAAATTTTCCACCAACAAATTACTTTTCACTTACCGCATCTGGCGGAAAGAGCAGCCGCCGCATTTCCTCTTCCTTCACTGTGGGCGAAGAGGGCAGCAATGAAATGCCATTATGCATATGTAAGCCCTTGGAGTAACCTTTGCCTTGCAGAGCGCTACGTAGCAGAGATTCAGCGGAATTCTAAAAAGAAACAAAAGAAAGCAAAAGAAAAATATGAAAAATCAGTACATATTAGGCTACAGTTTCCTGGTCTCCTCCCAACAAAAAAAAAACAAATATTAAGTTGAAGCTTTTCACTCACCTGCTCTGCATTATGATCCGCCATATGCCAATCGTTGTTGTTATTTTGAAATTGCGCCAATTGCGTATGCGCAGACGATGGACTCACCACGCCACCACCCATACCGCTAATGCCGCCACTCGCCAGCGATATGGCCGTCACCAATGAGGGTAATCGTTGACTATTTACACCACTCCCACTGCTACCGCCATGCAGACCACCAGCTCCATTCGCAGTCATACTCAAACCATTCACCATATCACCACCACCACCACCCCCACCGCCTTCTCGGCCACTGCCGGTACCATCGCCGGTGCCATAACTGGCTGAGCTCTCATCATATGGATACTCTGATTTTATATAACCCGGAAAGGTGCCGAGTAGGCTATCCAAATCCAGTGCGTTGGACAATTGATTGGCGGTACTCTCGGGTTCACGTTTGAGCCATGGCTCATTGCCGTTTAATACTGTGATTGTGTAAATTTGACCATCACTGTTATCCACCGTCATAGTCGTGCTGCCATTACTGTTTGTGGTGTTGTTGTTATTGTTACTGTTGTGGTTGAGTATATTTGGATTTGTGGAATTGTTGTTTGTCGTTTGATTGGCACTTTGTGCGCAGGAACTAGTACTGTTGTTGTTGTTGTTGCTGTTGCTGTTGCTGTTATTACTGTTTAGCGCCATTTGTCGTTGTGTATGATGCATGGCAGTTGACTGTTGTTGTTGCGAGTGCATATGTGACTGATGATGATGCATGTGTTGTTGTTGCTGGTGTGTATGCGTTTGATTTGGCGATGCTGGGCTATGCAGATGCGAGGAATGCTGTATACTGTTAGCGGGTGTACTGCGGTGTTGCTGATGCTGATTCGCTGTTGTAGCGACTGGTGATGTCGCTGCGGTCGCGACGGCCTGTTGCTGCCAACAGTAGCGATCGAGATCCTCGAAGATGGTGGCATCCAAGCGGCTGGTGGGATCTTTGTCCGTGTGCCAAAACTGATGGGTGGAAGAGCGAAAAGAAGATTTAATTTCGTTAATAAAATACAGAATTTTTTCTGTTAAATGTAGAAATAAAGAAAGTAGCAGATAACGGTCTAGTAATTAAAGTATTTTTATGTTTTTATGTTTGTGTTGAAAATTTGTGTAAAATATAATATTGACTAGAATTACAAATAAATTCAGTAAATATAATCATTTGACCATCGACAAGCTTTCGCAGTATTCATTGGAAAGCCATGGATCCCTGATGATTTTCACAAGGCTGTGGAGAAAGGGGCTCAGACATAGAGAGAATGAACTCTTAAACGAAGTAACCGTCACGAATCCACTTTGACCGAGTTTGTTGTGTTCTATGGGTAGAGGAAGGAGCGTAAAGCTACAGTCAATGGGCTACACTCTAGATTAGGTTGATGTAAAAAAGATGGGGCTTCATGCGCACAGCCCAACGATTAATCTCTTAAAGGATGGACTGTCTTATCTCGCGACATGAGCCTCTGGTTTGGCCTCCAAGATTGTACGATTTAACAACGCTGGACCAATTTTTGGTGGATTAATGTGAAATCGCTTCTCGACACATATAAAACCGGGACGACCGATATTTTGAAAGAAAACATTCGGCACGTTATTGCTAATAGATGACCACAATTGCTTCAAAAAGTGGTGAAATACTGTGTCCCTGGTTGGAACTAATTCCTGCCAGCCACTAATTCCTAGTACCCCTTGGATTATTTTGCCATCACAATTGGTTAATCTTACTGCAATGAGGGTTTCAAAGATATCACGTTCAACCAATCAACTAAACAACCCACCAAATACAGAACAAAGGTGTCGACATGCATCAATTGTAGGAAGAATTTATAATGTGTTATGACTTCGCTGATTTTATTTGCGTAATAAAAAAGCTTTTTAGACGGATTTATTACGTAAAATCTGAGGATCAGAAAAAAGAATAAATTACGGTCTTCAGCTCTGTGCGGGTCATCTAAAAATACACCTGCTTACCAAAATTCTTTGAAATATCACGAAAAAAATATCTCCAAAAGACAGACAGACGAACAAACAGTATGCATTTTCCTTGATCTTCTTCTTCTTTAATGAAGAAATTATAATTTAAATTTTTTTTTTTTCATAAAATTTTTTAAGTAAAATTTTTTCTTTTTTTTGACTAAATTTACTAAATTTAAATTGCAAAAAAAAAGTTGTTTTCCCACGTTAAGGACTTTGAATTCAATGGTATTTGGTATCTATAATGAGAAAGTAACGCGAATCGCTTGGAAAATGTTTAATAAACGCAGAGCCTCATGGATAAGATGATGTATGAGAAATCTTAATTTCCAACTGCAGGATATCGATATCCGTACCTGGGTATTTAAGCAACTTTAAACAAAGCGTTCAAATTCGAAGTTTTTATTAGGTGTAGTAAAAAGAAATCCATTTTTTTTACATGAAATTGAATGCCCTAATTTTTTACTTTTCGCATCCAGTCTTTTTCAAATGGTTCCAAATGGTTTTTTGTGCAAACCTTAGCTCTTGGAAAATCAAAACAGTACTTAGATGACGGTCGAACTCGCCAGTATCCAAAATTCGATCGGCATTTTTGACAATTAATCTTCACTCCGAGAAGCATCTTTTACATCAAAATTACCGGAATGAAACCGAGATTGCGCATGATTGACTGTAACGGTATCAAGACCAAAAACGGTATTCACATTTTCAACCTTTTTGGAAAAAAAGCTGTAAAATACAGCGTATTTTCTCTTTGCCAGTGCCCATTTTTGACGCATGCTCAGGCTAAACTGCATCAACCAATCAGAAAACTGTCAGTAAAGCGTTTTTAGTGCGAAATGTCATATTTCTACCACCATTTAACGGAACACGATCGGACTTATAGCACGCGAGATACAGTTAAATAACGGCAACTATTGGAAAAATAATGGATTTCTTTTCACTACATCTAGCTATATAGAAATAAGAGCAAGAAAAAGGAAAAAATTGAGCAGCGCGATTTAAAAAATATTGAACTTAAACTTACTTAAATTGAGTTATTCAATATAAATACTTTTATATGGATTCCCATATCTCTTAAATAATAAATTAAGTTAAATTTTCTTATTGCGATTGCCCCTCGGCATGAAATGTCCACTCTCACCGAGTGTATTTCGGACATGAAATAAAGCTCCTCATAGAAAGCCATCAGCCGTTCGGGGTATAAACTATAGGTCTCTTCATTTTATGGAAAAACATTAAGACGCAAAACCCGAAATTGGAGGAGGAGCTCGGCTGAAAGTCGCTTCAGCGGTTATGAAGCACCAATTAAAAAAAAAAATATATAAATATAAGATTCGGCGTTTAATGCTAAGAAGGGCTTGTACTTTAACAAATTGAATTTTCGACTGAATAAAATTTAGAAATTCCGTTTACCACACCCTTTTAGAAGTTTAAAATTTTTTTATTTATATTCTTTAATGCACAAATGTCAAAATGTCATTAAATCTTTATTAATTTCAGACAGAAAAAAAAGCGTAGAAAAGTAAAGATTTTCCTTATTTCCTTCTTAAGCAAAACAACCTCGAAGTTTAGTATTATTAAATATGCGAACCAGCTGAGAGAGAGCAGAGGAGCAGGCGGTTTTTGGCTTTAAGCGTTTGGTACGATTATATACTTTAATGATTTCTATATATGTACAAATGCATTTACATAACTGCAAGTAAACTGAAGCTATTGAAAAACCACCAAATAAAAGCCATAAATAAAAAATTGGAAATTAAACAATGTAAATGAGAAAATTGTAGAAGAAAAAGGCTGAAATCAAATATAAAGGCGGCAACAAGTTTGGTGCTTAAGTCCTTTGTTTGGCCAATGCATGGGCAACAGTACAAATGGTAGTAGCTAGAGAAAAGATAAAAACCACAATACAAATAAACACATATGCATGTCTGTTTGTATGTAGGTATGTATGTCGCTATGAAATGAAAAGACTTTCAAACTTTTTCTCTTTTTGTATTTTTTTTTTATTTCCAATTTTTTTTTTGCCATAAGCAATTTAATATTTCAAACGCTATTTCTATGCTTGACAACACATATGTACATATGTATATATATATATTGAAATATATATTTATATGTATATGTACAAACATATGCCACACCAGCTGCAGCATATGTTTGCACTTTCTATGACCGTACTGTCTGCACATTCAAATGCCACATTGTACAACAACAATGAAATGCTGTTGCTGCCACTACTCCTGCTGCCTTGCTACTGCTACTGCTGCTGCTGCTGCGGCACTACTGTATTACTGGCTTACTAAGTATCTTAACTGGCTGACTACTTAACCCGACAGCCTGACTAGATGGCGCGCTCCAACTGACTGTCCATTCGACTGCTGCGCGCTGTACGCTCATCCGGTTGGCTGTTGTTATTATTGTTGTGAAAGCGTCGCCATCATCGCCATCATCATCATCATCACCAGCACTATCAAACGTAAAACGCAGTAGCAGCCAAGCAAGCGAAATAGAGAATTTAGCCAGCTGCTGCTGTTGGCAGTGTTGGCTCGTGCCCCATATCGCAGCGTACAGCTAACCGGGTGTTCAGATATCTGTGTGTGTGTGTATATGTGTGCGTGTGTGCGCGTATGTGTGTGTGTTTGGTTGCAAGTTCAACATTCAACATTCAACATTCACCAGCATGCATGTCGCTGTGTTGCATGCAGCACGTGCCATGTCAAATTTTGGTTATGCCCTCAAAGGCTATGGTTTTTCTTGTTGTTGTTGCAAATGCAATTTGATAGCACAAACTCAGCACAGTTTCAATACACATATTTATTTATATACATTTGTCCGTATGCAGTTATTTCGACTTTCATACAAATCTATATGTTTTTCCATAGCAGAATTGTTGTTTCGCTTTTTGTTTTTTTTTTGTTTTTGGTTTGCATGTAAGGCAGTTCACCTAATTCATCTGCATGTGCACAGGCTTATTTTTTGTTACACTGCTTGTTCTAGTTCATTTTTGTATTTTTCGTTTTTCGATCCTCACTCCGCGGGCGCAGAAGCCCACACAACGCTGGAGGGAAAATCCACTTAAATCATACGAAGGCATATTGTTCGGATACCTGTAGGTGCAACATGGTTAACAGCAACAACAACAATTGTGTCCGTTGGTATAACAGTAGCCAATACAATGATAGCCTTGTTCGCCATACTCTCTCTCTTACAGTGGAACTGGTGAACAAGTTCAATCGATTTACTGCATTTTATCATTTCTTTTTTTGTATTTTTGCATTTTTTTTTTTTTTTTTTTTGTTGCTGCTGTTTGTGCTTTTATTTTCGCTACCGTCTTGCCGGCGATATCTGTTTGTGGTCACTGCGGTTGGTTGCTGCAGTTGTGTTTTGCGTTTTTGTTGTTGCATTTTTGATTTTTGTTCCTTCACAATTTTCTCGGCTGTCGATTTACGCGAAATCTTGTATTTCCTTTTCATTTATTTGTATGTTGTTATAGCGCTGAATTTGTATTATTTGGCATTTAAAAGTCGACAACTGACATGACAGCAACACTGGTTTTATTGTTGTTATTATGCGCTTTTTTGTTTTGGTTTTATTTAGTTTTTCGTTTTATATTTTTGCTTTAAAAACAACATAATCTTTATTGAATGAGTGGAAGAAGTCTTGTGCGCACGCTTTGGAAGAGGGTCAAAGCATTAAATATGGCATTTGTCTGTTGGACATCAATAAAGTTGTAGATACTTCCTAGTATTTGTTAATACTTCTCAGTTGTCGCTGCAAAGCTTACTGTGCTAATTACGGCGCTTCGTTAAGACTCATACGTGGTTTGCCTTTTATGTTTTGCACCTCGGAAAAACTGCACGGGATATGGAGTTATTTGATGTTTTCATCGAAAGGTTCGGTTCATTTTAGTTCTAAGTAGCTGTAGCCTGGAGCGCTACGCTATGACGCAGGCAATGGAATATTGGATATCCCTTCAAAATTCATTTTATTTAGTTCTTACCTGTGATATTTCGATATCCGAAGAAAAATGGCATTTTTCGGGATAAATGTTTGTATGTTTATTTCAATTCAAAGAGCGCGCTATGCAATTCGTAATGGAAAACAATATCAGTTTAGTGACTGTCACGGCCACGCTAACAAGACCATATTATTTTCAACATATTTCCCATCACCACATTGCAAAGTGGCTGCGGTATGCCCTCAATAGCTTTACAAATGCCATCTTTCAGGCCGTGAATTCGCCTGTGCATGTAAACCTCATCTTTTACATGTCCTTAAAGGAAGAAGCCACTAGGTCTTAAGTCACAAGATCTAGGTGGTCAAATGCCATCACCAATTTGAGGGGTAACACGGTCCGGAGTTATTCCCTTAAAAGATTGGTGGTTTCGTTGCTTGTGTTGCACGTAGCGCAATTTTGTTCCGTTCATAAAAAATCATAAACCATCACTCGATAGATCAATCCATTCAGTAAATATTGCTCTAGACTCATTTTCGGAAAAGTTAGGTCCAATAACCCCATCGGATAATAAACTGCACCAAACATTCACTCGTTGAGGATGGAGAGGCTTTTCAACAATAAATCTTGTGTATACCGAGCCCCAGATGCGGAAATTTCGCTTATAGACGTAGCTATCGAGGTGGGAATGGGCCTCATCAATCGAGCTGATTTTTCGACGAAGTTTCCAATCCATTTTTAAGCACTTCAAAGACCCAAACAGCAAGAACACAACGTTGTTGACCGGTTTGAAGGCTTGTGTTAAGTTAAATCTTTCCTCTACGCTTCTGCCGTATGACAGCTCCAGTTGAGTTCGCAATTTAATATTGTCCCAAGATATTTGACTTTGGTAGAGAAGGTGATGTGCCCGCCCTGCTGTAGAGTTGGCTACCTCCTTGCTTGCTCCTCCTGATAAATAGGACCTTTTTAGTTCTCACTTTTACTACTTCGGCGTTGTGAAAATAAAAGTACATAATTAAGCCTGGAAGTAGTGCTTTGGTGAAAATCTCATCTTGGGATCAATGACTTCAATCAAAACCACGAGAGGTACAACTCAGTACATCCCAAACTTATGAGAATCTAAATACCTATAAACTTGAATGAAAAACATCAAATGAGGACTTAAATTAAGACACATTGAGAGTGTCGAATTGAAATTCTGGAATTCATGGGTTTTGATTATGAGTAATTTTTTAGTCAAAAAGAAATCTCATAACCACTTTGATTTCCACAAAATCTGAGGAATATTAGCGAGGAGAAGAGTGAAAGTATCATCAAGATCACCGGCGAGAAAGAGCGATATCAAAGGCGGTGGAACTAACATATGATGGTATACAACTTTTGAGGCTAACAACGCAGTCTATAAAAAATCGTTCACACATAAAACTCTTTTGAAAGTATTAAAAAATTTTTTTGTTTGATAAAGTACAAATTTTATAATTTATTTATTTTTTTCAAAACAATAAAACTTTATATTTCCAAGAGTTAGCGAACTCCAAGTTTTTGCTTTTTTTACAGAGACCGACACGGTGCTATCTTTCACAGTAAGATTAAGTGAATTTATAATCGTCGTCTTCTGTTCAGACTCAGCCACTTAGCTTAGTTGTTGTAGAAGGCATTTCAGGGGTAAATAAACTCAGGCGCATGATTAGCAATGCCAAGCCACATCCAAAAATAAATAAAAAAAAATTAAGTTCATTGTTTTAAATGCAGTCGCTTAATCAATCCCCTTGGTCACTCTCTCCTAGCGTATTTATGTTATTAAATGAAAATCTCCGCGCTGCCTGTTTAGGAATAGCAGTAGGCTCATCCAAACAACAGATTATTCTGAATAGCCCGAGGTAGTTCATTGAGACAGAATTTGTGGGGGCTATAAACGATTGTTAAATGATTTTCATTGTGTCTTATATACTTGTACTTTAGAGCGTTTGCTCATCTTGCACCTATGGTAATGACCACAATCTCTAGCTTGACTACCAACTGTGACTGCTCTATCTAGACTCATCCGTATATATATCTGAATAAATTCACTATTGTCGAGGGTTTTTGTTTCCGGTCATTCTTTCCTGCCTGGGAAGCCGTAGGTGGCTGGCAGTTGGTAGAAGGTTTTTAATTCCGGTCAATACCATTTTTTTTTTGGTATGTTTGACATAAGTTCTGTCTTAACTTTTCGTATGATGCTATGTTTTATACTCTTAACAGGCCGAAGCCACTTGTGCAGAACTTTTAAATAGCAGACTCTTAGCGCTACCTCAGCTATCAGTTGCATGTGTAAATTGGTCTGATATCGAGGATGAAAACAAATTAGTTACTAAAAATTTTCCTGTTTCCCTGATAAAGGGTGAAATATTTCCGACATAAAACGAAATAATAAAAAACCAATAAAGAAGATTTAGGTGGCGATATGTATACAAAGAGCGTAGGATGTTAAATAAAAGCAAAAAAGAAAAAAAATGTGTCAATCAATTGAAAGTTTCCTGATAGTGGAAGGCTTCAGGTGAGCTGATATAACAAATATTTCAACATGCAGCTTGTTTGACATTTCCAAGTATGACAAGCTCGAGTCCGCAATTTATTACGATGGCTTCTGTCACCACTGAACCACTCTGACTTGGTCTGAATAGAACTGTACGTCGAAAGAAGAGCAAAAGCCCAGAGAAGAAAATTTGCCGTCTGATAGAATTTCATACACACGAGTATCTTCAAATGATTGACCAAGATAAATATAAAAGATCTTAAATTATAATTTTTTATAGAAGAAATACAAAATTTATTTCGAACAAAAGAAAATTTCTGTATTACTTTTACACTGATTTCAAGTTAGAACTTTTAGTTATTTTTTCACCTAAGGCTCCATAAATACCAGAAATTGTGTATAAACACACTCACCTCATAGCCCTGCAAGGTTGGATCACTACTATTGCCATTGCTGTTGCCGTCCGAACCATCTATGCAGCTGCTGCCATTACCCGGCGTGCCAACACGTCCACCGACACAATTACTCCCACTAACTGTGCTACTGCCACCACCACCACCACCACCACCGCCATCATGTGGCATGCTGCCTGCCAAACTGTTGCTTTGCTCATGATTGTGTGATTGCTGATGATGACTGTGATGCTGATGATGTGTATGTTGTTGGTGATGGTGCTGCTGCTGCTGCTGCTGTTGCTGCTGATGTGTGCCACTACTCGTGCTGCTCGCATGCAAACTGCCCACACCCATGCTACCGATATCGACCACATCTGCGCCGACACCGATACCAATGCCCATATCGGGCGCTGTGACGAAATCGAAAAAATCCGTTTTTGTTAAATCCTCCGGACGAAAGGATTCACTTATATCCATGCCAGTGGATGACATCTCATCCGTGCCGATCATTTAGTGTACGATTTTTAGGGCGCTGCGCAGCCGTAACGGTGCAGCAGTGCTGTTGTGGATGGGTTAAGGTGAGTGGAGAGTGGAGTTGTTGGCGTGTTGTTGATGCAGTTTCTGGGTTAGCTTTTATTCTTTGGAGAAACGATTATAGTATTTTTCTGTGCTGGGTGATCTGAAAAGAAAATAATAAATGTATGTAAGTATTTAATTTATTTTTTTATAGCAAAATTTAATAAAAAAATTAATTATAGCTCTCGTTTCGTGGCAAATAAAAAGAATAAATATTTTTCAAAAAAAAAAAAGAAACTTAACTAAACAAATAAAATCATAATCGATTTTTTTTTATTTGCAAGCGGCCCAATTTCAGCATGAATAATGAATATCCATCAAAAAATAATTATATACATACATAAAATGTGGCAATCAAAAGCAAAAATTATTATTTCTTTCATCATTTGCTTATTTTTGACATATTTTCCGTGGTGATTTGCATTGAGTTTTCCCAAAGCAGAAAATAATTTAAACAAAAAATCCAAACCCGCCAGCGGCATAAATAAATCAGGCACAATCAGTTGGGTGACAAAGTGTAAACACGATTGTCAACAGCAGCTGTAAATCTTGAACAAATCACGCGCGTGAAAAATCACAAAATCCACCAAGCGAAATATTGTATGTATATACATATATGTAGCTGACGAAATACAATATGTTGGCGAAGCATTGCAAGGGGGCAAAAGATCGAAACCACAGAAAATATTTAATAATGAATGTAAAATTTGCATTAAATTCGTTAGTGGAGTCTGTATGTGTTTGGAGCGAATCGGCGGAGTTGTGGCGGCGGTGGTGAGGGGGGCTAGCAATAGGCAATGTATTGACCATATAACAACAAAACAACAACAACAACATTCACAATTTAACAAAAAAGAGTAAACAAAGTTAAAATAAATCAAAAAATAAATAAACCTTAATTTAATGCAAAAAATTGAAAATTTGCTGTGACACGAATTTTGCACGCTTTGGTTTCGTCAACGTTTCAGAGCAAGCCATGCGGTAATAATAATAAACAAAATATAATTTTTTTTTTTGGAATTTGTGTAAATTGCATTTAGCAAAAAAATTTTTTCCTTAGTATTTGAGTCACAGCGCCAAAGATATAATGTTATTAAAAACCATTGTTTAAAAATTAAAAAATTATTGACTAAATCAAAAATAAGAAAATAAAATAAAATAAATTAATATAAAAATATAAATTAAATTAAATAAATAAATATTGCATTTAATTGTAAATATATGTAAAAAATTATTATTTATATACATAAAACTCAATTTCAATATTTTTTTGATATACCGTTGTGATCCGTTGAGACCATATACCGTTTATACCTTTCAAGCATACTAAATGGTATATAAAATTTAGTCTGAAGTATGAATGCACCACAAGGCGAAAAAATAAACCCACTAAAAATTTATACCAACTGGATCAGAATGACAACTTAATTTAGCTAGACCCATATTTGAGAGCAAGCTAGACCCTCAGTTTCAACTAAACTTTTTGTGATGATGTATATTTTCAAATTTTTAATCAATTGGCGGAGCCAGCCAGATTAGAAGTCTATTCCTATAGCCGAGATGCATGATTTTGGTTCATAATTACTTCAATAAATTAACTAAAAGTGTAAAATTTGCTGTTTTCCATAATATATGTACATTTATATAATTTACGCTTTGTAACCGCTGAAGCGAATTTTGTCCGATCACAAAAATTATTTATTTTTTTTTATATAAAAATACAAATGCAAATATTCTTTGATTTAACGAAAATATAAAAGTTATCAAGTAAACTTTTAGTCTCCAACCAACAATCAGAGTTAAATCATCATTAGGTAACTGGTCGACATTTAGAGTCAGCCATTGGCTTACAGTTTGGCTTAAATTTCGATTTTGTTGCTTAGTTAGTAACTTCTACGAAATTCACGACGATTGCACTTGTCACATTACTCAATCACAAGTGCAGCTAATCAAGCATGAAAATGCTCGAATTTCATTTGGTGGGCATAAATATATGTATGTTGTTACTGAGATTTGTTTGGGCTTGTGTGTATGAGGTTTGTCTTTTTTGAGTTGGTTGTTGATAAATGCTGTGTTGGCTTTGGCGCTGACATGTGCCATGTGGTGTGCGCGTGCGCGTCAAAATAAAACAACGCTATTCAAATCGACAGAAACGTGCAGCGTGAAAATGTTGTTGGAAACAAAAAACCAAATAAAAGAAATAGAAATGAAAATATTTAAATTTTAAAACATAATTTAATATAATACAAATAAGAAAGTATATAAATACAATATAATATATTTATTTTTTTTTTAAATTTAATGATATTTAAATAAATAATAATAATACCGAAATATTGAATAATAATCAATATTTACATAAATAAAAGCGGTGAGTCTAAACTTTGGACTTTCTTGTTTAATATAATATGTATTTTTTTTTAAATTTTTATATATTGTATTTTTTCATAATTTTTTTTTTTTTGGGATGACGTTAAATGGAACTATCAAAGCGATTATGTGGATTTCCGCTCTTTCAATTTCTCTTACTGCATTACACCAAAGTGATTTCGATCCTTTCAAATAATAATATTATTCAAAATTCTTAAATAGAGAAATTATATATTTGGCTACACATTTGTTATTTCATGTCACATGCCAAACATGTCACATCATAGGGGCATAGCATCATAATCACCTCACACGATGTGGTATAAATGGCATAAAAATAATAATATAAAATGCTAAATGTTAAATTTCACATATATTATTTCATATAAATTGTAGAAACAGAGAGATTAAATCTTTTGCTATACACTTTTATATCATGTCACATGTTAAAAATGTCCCATCATAACCATTAGTTGCTCATACGATGTGGTATACATCACTTAAAAATTAAGAATAAATTTTAAATGTGATATTTTTTCATTAATATAAATAAATTCTAGAAGTAGAGAAATTAAATATTTTGCTTTACACTTATTATATCATGTCACATGATAAAAATGTCACATCATAATCCTTAGTTGCTTACATGATGTGGTTGAAATCACGTAAAAAAGAACGAATAAATTTTAAATAAATTTGAGTAAATTCTAGAAACAGAGAAATTAAGTATTTTTCTATACACTTTTTAAATCGTGTCACAAGTTAAAAATCGCACATTATTATCCTTAGTTGCTTACAAGATGTGGTAGAAATCACGCAAAAAAATTTTAGTAAATGTTAAATTATATACATATTTTCCAAAAATCGAATTCATTAATATGAGTTAAATGCAGAAATAGGAAAATTAAAAATTTTGCCGTAAACTTTTTTATGTCATGTGAATGTTAAAAATGTCACATCATGCGCATTATATGTCTTATAATAACACATCACATCATAGGTACGACACATGATGTGATATTTAGATCATAAAATAAGAAAAAATAAAATTAAAAATAAAATTAAAAATAAAGTTTAAGAATCATTTAGAAATTCAGATATATATATATATATTCAGATATATATATATATATATTATAGCATGATAATTTATTAAAATGAGGAAATTGCCGAAAACTACACACATACTAACATATGTTTGCATATCATATGATGCTGCATCAACCGCATTTGTTCGGTATTCTTTCAATATAACATTAAATAAATTATTCGCCTTAGATTTGTTTCAAACTTAATTTTTCAAAAATGCTGACATTTAATATATTAAATTGACTAACGTAAAAAGCAATCGCTAGTAGTTTGGATGATGCGCTATAATTTCAAATCATATGAAAATTCAATAATTACTCAAAAATTCAAATTAAACTATGGCTTCGTTTATTAAGAGATGTGGCCGCCGCAATAGCCGAGTGGTTAGCATTGCCGGCTGCCATATGGAAGGTCAGCGCTCGAGTCTCGACCCAGATCCCTTCGCAAAAGCCTTGGTCCCTCCATTTTTCGGAAATAACATCAAGAAGCATACCATAAATTAGAGAGAAATCCACTTCAGCGGTCACAAAGCGCCAAGCGGCCGAGCTCTTCCTACAATTTGTGGTATGCTTCTTGATATATGCTTCATAATTTAACATATTTTTTGGCTCAATTTTAAAATTTTAATTTCTAATGATTTAAGAAAATTCAGAAATTACTAATTAGTAACATACATTTATTTATTTTGCAGCAAACATAGGCTGTTAAAAAAATTAATTTTTATTGTAGTCAGACTCATCGTTCAAGGTATAAAGCAATTCTCTAGAATCTAAAATAAAAAAGAACCTAGAATAATTACAGAATTGCTTGTTACGTATACGAGTATTTGTAGGCATGCACAAAGGTGCTGCTACTATGGAGTACTCGTATGCAGTTAATGATGCATTCAAATTGATTTTTTATATTTGTATAATAAATTTGTGCGGATGTAAAAATTTTCAATGGATTTTCAGTTAATGAAATTAAATTAATATTTTAAGTGCACGATTTAATTACCGTAAAAATGAGAAATTTGTACTTTTATTGCTGGTAATTCATTACTAAGCGGTGTCTGGTTTATGAGTTTTAAGCTTGAAATTGAAAAAAAGATGAGAAGATTAAAGAAGCAAAGAAAATTTGTATATTTTCAAATAAGATGAGTTAACTGCTAGTACGTAGTCGGTTGTATATATATACATATATATATATTTATATGTTATGTGTTAGCTCTCAATAGGTAAATTGCAACTATATTTTGTTGTAAAGATGCGCATCAAGCTAAATATATTTCACCATAAAAAAAAATTTTCATACATACAAAATACGGATACTTATGTATCCGCCGCTAATGCACATGCAAGCATTTTTAGCAATTTAAGCGCAATGATTAATGACATTTTTGCGCTATATCTTGTGTGCACGATTAAAAATCTATCTACATACACATATATATTAAATATACTAACATTTGTTAGTAGAAATAGCTTAAGATGTAATTTAAAGCACAATAAAATGCTCCAAAAGTCAAAATGATCATAATAAATAATGCACATGTGTGCAAGTATTTCAACTATGTCCTACATACATACTTGTACATGGCGAAATAGTTATGTACAATACATTGCACAGGCATAATTATAATGGCA